GGGGGGGGGGGGGGATGAAGGTGTGGAAAAAATAATCCAGTCCTAAAAAGCAAGGCTCTCTCTTACTTTGCATATAGCACAATTTTCCCCCCTCTTTTGCTAAGTAAGGCACTGCTCCTTTGATTGCTTACTGCAAATATTTTCCAATGGAACTGAACATTCCAATGGAACTGTTTCTATCTTGCAAGATTTTCCAAATGCTTTTTACTTCAGTTGCATTTCTAGGATGAAATATGGCATTCAGACTTTGTTGCTCCGATGCTAAATTGCCCTGCTTTGAATGGAAGGCCATTCTCATTCACGGAAAGCCTTTGATCCAGCTGAGGCATCTGTTGGGAGAAAACTATTTTGTCCACTTCTCCCCAAGAGTTCCCTGAACTGGAGCTATAATCTTGCAGTAGCTATTTCAAAACGCTTTGGAGCAGAAAAGAAAGGAAACAGTGAAAACCACCAAACTGCTTTCTTCAGCTAGTGGAAATGTGTCATGAATGGAGTTCTCAGAGGTTCCCAGATTGTCACTTTGTTTAATGTTAATAAAAACAATGGGCTATTATGACAGAACGTAAACAAAAGATTTTGAGAGGCATTGCCTTCTTTCCATGAGACAAACTGTTTTACAATTTAGCTTGAAGGCAATATTTAATGAAGTAGTGGAGAATATATTTTCTCCATTTGCAAATACGTGTAGAAATAAAGAAACACTGCACAGGTCCGAAAGGAATTGATATTTTAAAAAACATCCATCATAATACATTTTTAAAGATGAGAAACACATTGAGTGGTCTATCAAATCAGCCCTGGTTTATCTTGATGATATATTATTCATAAGCCTTCAAGAGAATATGTTAAAATAATACAATTAATGCTTCTGACATAATTATCCTTCAGAGCCATAAAAATGACAGGTCCATTGAGGAATGTATTTCCTGACAGACGAATATTCCCAGAATTGCTATAAAAAGAATAACTTTCAAAACAAAACAAATGTCTTGTTTGAAATGAACATAGGAAAAAAAAACCTAAAGAACAGTATTATGCAAGAGTTTGAATACAAGCAACACACTGTGCAGTGGCATGAAATTTCTTCAAGCGCACCCCCGCAGTATATCAGAGGCAACATTACACAGTGGGTGGGTTTTCGTGGCAGAGTAAGTCTAAGCCCGTGAGAGTTATGAATGAGCAAGTGTGCTCGGATATGCTCCAGCTTGGCTCCAATTAATATGCAAGGCAGAAAAGCTGAAAGCAACATCTCTACATCACCCCTCTCCCTTTTTAAAAACACAAATGATAACAATATGTTACAAGTTAAAACACACACAGAAGAGCTACAGGGCAGAAAAACATGTAGATCAGCGTTGTAATACTCCAGTTTATAATGCTGTATACTGCGCAGAGTGAGGGAAGGATGTGGGGGCGGGGAGGCTCCAGTAAAGTGTCATTCTGAGAAAAATGCATGAACTACAGAAATGATACTAACATCTTAGGGGATTGGGGATAAAGTCTATCTGAGCCTTCTGATGTACAAATATAGAAATGCTCTTTAAAAAAAACCACACCACAAAATCCCATAATTATGCATAAAAGGAAAAACTAACATTAGATAAAATGGACCGATGACAATTATCAAAGTGTAAAAATTGCTAAAGTAAATATATTGCAGATACTGCAATAAGTATCCATTACCTTAATAACATAACAAGATCTGCATCGCTGGATAACCGCACCAGCCCTGGTGTTCCTTCAGTCCGAATAAACTGGATCTTCTCCCTGTTTGTATCAAGCACTATGCATGTCAAGGCAGTAAATAAAACCCCTGGGACATATCAAACAGGCCTCTAAATTATTTTAGGCACATTATTATTCATTATACCATGCTCTCAAAATAGAAGAATTCTTCAGCGAGCTCCCCTCTATTAACACCAGAGACCCTCATTAATACTTTCTAAATACTGTTATTTTCTGTTTGCCTAACTTCTCTACTCAAACTGCTTCACGTACCTTATCAATGAAAATAAATAATTCAAGGTAATGTTAAATATTCCCCGAATGAATTCCAAGGTAACGAATTCCAAGTAATTCAAGGTAGTGTTAAATATTCCCCAAAGGAATTCCAAGGAGTAGCACAAGCTTTAGAGAAAAACACTGTTGTTCTAAAACCATTAAAAATAAATACATGGATTCTCCTCATCCTATCAACGTAAAGAGAACCCTATTAGTTTCCTAAACAGGGTATGAAGTAAAAGACACAAAGAAATATTCTGCAAAATCATATTAGTCATTCAGGTTTCTGTGTCTACCAAATACCGTGTTTCCCCGAATACCGTGTTTTTGCCTCCAAAAGAAGCAGTGGGTCTTATTTTCGGGGAAATGTCGTATTTTTTTTCCCGACACATGCCTCGCCTCGCGCTGGTGGCACCAAAAGCCCCATCCAGCAGGAGCCCACGTGGCCACCGGCCCACTTCTGCAGCTGCTTGTGACCACTTGGAAGCCGCATGGCTCGCTGTGCCGTGCTGCTGCCACGAGGCAAGGCAGGTGGAGGATGGGGTGGAGCTGCCCCAAGTGCCCCTTAGATGCCCAAACACTTTTTGCCCAGAGGGAGACTGGAAGCTTCGTCTGCTTGCAAATGGGGCGCTTGGGAACGGAGCAATTAGCCCCATTCCCAAGCGTCCCATTTGCAAGCAGACGAAGCTTCCAGTCTCTGTCATTTCTCTGTCTGGGTGAAAAGCGTTTGGGAACTTTTGAGGCATTTGGAAATGGAGCGCTCTGTTTCCAAATGCCTCATAGGTACCCAAACACTTTTCACCCAGAGGGAGATTGGAAGCTTTGTCTGCTTGGGACAAAGTGGGGGGCTTGGGAACGGAGCTAATTGCTCCGTTCCCAAGTGCCCCATTTGCAAGCAGACAAAACTTCCAGTCTCCCTCTGGACAAAAAGTGAGCGATGTATCCAAATCGCTTGCCTTCCCCTCACCTCTGCCTCTGCACTCAGACTTACCTGCACTGTGTCAAGGGGCCGGCAAGCTGTGGCTGCTGCCGGATGCCGTCAGCCTCCACGTGCTCGCCGCCGCTTGTGCTGGCCACGCCCACCTGGGCTTATTTTTGGGGTAGGGCTTAAATTAGGCCTATCCCAAAAAATCAGGCTAGGGCTTATTTTCGGGGTGGGTCTTATTTTCAGGAAAACATGGTAGCACCAGTTTTCATCTATAAAAGTAACTATCTTCAGATGTATCCTTTTGAATGTTTTACCTAGTACAGTGGGGGCGAACCTATGACACGCGTGCCAGAGGCAGCATGCAGAGCCTTCTCTGTGGGCACATGCACCATCACCCCAGCCCCGCCTCCCCCCATGGCCCCCTCCTCACCAGCAGTCCCCCCGGAGAGTTGCCCCTGGGCATGGCCCACACAGAGCAGCGCAGCCAAGGACATGGCAGCTGAGCGGCGGGGACAAGACTCCTCCCTTGTGTCCCGTCGCATGCAGATGATGCTGCGGGGCGCAAGCGGAGGTCGTGGCCACCATGGTGCTGCAGGGACACCTGGGCAATCTGCTGCAGCGGGTTGTGGAGGCAGTAGGTGGCCCTACAGGTGGGTGGGATGCAGAGTGGGGGCAGGGCAGGGAGCGGTGTCTAAAAGGTTCACCATCACTGACCTAGTCCAAGAGCTGAAGCAGTTCTTTAAGCAAAGAAAATACAGATATAAACTCTATTAATCAGTTATAACAAACCAGCACGGTTTGTGCCATCTTAAAGAATAACAAATGTATGATTTCAAAACATTTATGGAGTAGAAAAGAATTCCTGAAGTGGGCTCTAGTTAACAAATACATACTACGTAAGTTTGTTAATTGTGAAAGTCCCACAGGATTTTTCATTACTTTTACGAATTCTTATAGGTTTGGGGTTTTTTTTCTCTACACTGCACTGATTTTTTTAAGGAGAATGTGAACTTGTTATATTGTGCTTATACCTTAAACTTAAAACATCTCTGGTAAGAAAAAAATGTCATTATTCTGGTCACCTGAGTGAATGATTTCTTGTGAGATCTGGCTGTCGCTCTTGGAGAATTTCAAAGATATTGGGTTGCCGCAGAAAAGCAACAATCTTGTCATTGTAAGCTGAAAAATTCAATAAAGAGGACATGTTGAAAAACAATAGTCATTTTTCTTCAGGAAACAAAGCTACAAGTTTTATCCTTTAGAAATTGATGTTTTTTCCAGAAGAAGGGATCTTTATTAAGGATGAAAAGAGACATTCAAAATGTATATAGCAATTTATGTGGTGCCTATCAAAACATGTTAAGCTAGTGTGTTTTTTCTTGGGCTTGTACACCTGTTATGCTGCAGTGATACTGCAAACCACTGGAGATCCCAATTCTTTTTTTTTTTTAATATTTTTTTATTTTTTAAAACCAACAAAACAAAACAAAACATTACACACATACACACACAGTATATACTCCTCCCTTTTTTTTAACAGTGATTTCGTAACAGTAATCTTCTATTATTTACATTTCCCCCCTTATTCTTCTTTAGAATATTTGTCCTTGTTGCCCCGTTGTTTCTTATTTGCATTTTTCTTCCTTCATACTATACTTCATACTAAGAATAATACATATTATTATTACTATACATTATCATACACACATTTTTCACTTTTGACCTTTCCACATTTATTCTCCTCTATTATTTCTAGTCTCCAACCAGTCATACCACTTGTTCCATATTAGATAGTACTCTGTGTCTTCCTTTTCTTTTATCTCTTTTTTTAATTTGTCCATCTCAGCACAGTCCAGGATTTTTCTTATCACTTCTTCCTCTGATGGTATATTCTCATTTTTCCAGAACTGTGCGTATGCTATTCCTGCTGCCGTTGTTATATGTAGAATTAAGTACCGTATTTCTTTACTATATTTTCTGTTTAAAATACCCAGCAAAAAGATCTCTGGTTTCCAGTCTACGGGGTTGGTCTATTATTTCTTCGGAGATCCCAATTCTATTCTAGATGCCATCTAGGTCTTCAAATTCTGGTCCTATGCCCTGTTTGGGGGAGCCACCACCCTTTATAAGGTACCTTATATGGCACCTATTTCTTTAATCCAGTATGAAGGAAAGAATACTCCTTTCACAGCCTGTTCTGCCTTTCTGGCAATTAAAAAGTCAAATTAAAAAAACTTAGATAATTTTGACTAAAGAAAAACAAACTCTATTATTAAAAAAAGAAGCAGACTTGTCCAGATCACAGTACTATAAGAGCTTACAAATTAATTGAAAAAGAAAAAAAGTGAACAAAATATAATACTTGAGCATGGAATCCAATACTAGTTTGATGCCAGGATTTAGTTTAAAGATCTATAACAAGTACTTTTCCAGGTTTGCGTTGGTCATTTCTCACAAAGAAGAACCTATAATCTTACTTGGGTATATTGTTCTTGTTAATTTTATCTGGAATATATTTTTCTATAACTTAAAAACCATTATTCGGTGTCCTACAAACTGGAATGACAGAAAACAAGATTACGAGTTTTTTCTGTGTGACAAAATTTAAGTACTTGTAGAGAGCCATTATATTCTCTATAAAACTTGTCTTCTAAACACTAAATATAACCAATTCTCTGAATTTGACTCATAGTAGAATTAGCTTCCATTAGTTTCCAATTGTCTCATTATTTTCATTGCCTGCCTCTGAATCCATTTTAATTTGCCCAAGTCCAATCAATGCAGAATAAATTGGGTCTACATACTTATCTGATTTGATTTCTTTTTCCTAAGTGAAGAATTTATATTTGAGTTTCTTAAATTTTATTATATTTCAGCCATTTTGTTAATCCCATCAATATAATTCTGAAATTATTTATATCTTCTAGGATAATAATTATTCAAGTACAGATAATCCTTGCTTAATGTCCCTAATTGGGATCAGTAACACTGTCATTAAGATACCAAGTCATATAGTGAAACATCACGTGACTATCCTACTTAGTTATAGCAATACAGTACTGGCAATCCCAGTTCTGACAAATCACCTATGGTCTTTAAGCAAGACATCACATGATTAGGGCTTGTGACCACCCCGTTCTCTTCCCCTCATCATTAAAGCCAGTAATAAAAATATTGTGAATTAGATTACAAATTCTAAAAATTATTCTGAGGAAGAGGCACAGTCCTTGTTTCATAGCTGAATTTTTAACAGAGTAGCCTATTGCAAGCATTACCATATGTAACACTGAAGAAATGGGTAGCAACAGAAGTTTAAATCAGTGGTGACTGTCAAGAAACCAATGCTGCTGAACAAACATCTAGCAATTCCATCAGAATAATTAGCTGTGGGTGTCTTCCCACAATGTGACAGCTGCTGAACTCAGTGAATTAGCTTCTGTACTTGAAAGCCATGAATCACCATTCCTGAAGCCAATAGGTTTTGTCATGTGTAAGTAAGCATCAAATATACAAACAGTTGCCAAAGTAACTTAGCTCATTGAAAACAAATTTGATAGCTAAATAAATGGTTGCTGTACTGACTGTATGAAAAATAAGAAACCTATTTTTAGTTTTTCTAATAAAACATATGTTATAAATAACATTTATAACGTTTCCATTATTACTGCAAAATTCTCTAATTTAGCAGTATGGCTAAATTAAAGTAATACTGAGAAATAAAGCATATATATATATCTGTTAATTACACATCGAGCAAATATCAATTACTATTTGTAATATATTTGCATGCTTATGTTTTTTCTGAACATTCATATTTTAAAACAAGGGACAGTCTCCTTTAGACTCATTGTAATGAAGAGCTTTGTGCAAACCAGGTTATCTATTCAAAAAATATTCTGTTAGTGAAATCAGTTACCTACGGAGATGCTGAGTTCTCCCCCACCAGTTGTCGTCAAGGAAATTGGATAGCCTTTGTTGGAGATGCTTTTATTTGGATTTCGGTACTGCACTGAGAAGAGAACTGTACCCTTCTGGGATTCCTTGCAGCAGCCCCAATGCTCTAAAAATGTGTGATTCATTGCTTCAGTGGGATTTGGTTTGGTTTGGATTGCCTTTTTGTGCCTTCAAGTTATTGCTGACTCCAGGCAACTGCCTGGATTAGTCTATGCTGTCTTCTTAGCAAGGTTTTTCAGAAGTGGCTTGCCATTGCCTGCTTCCCAGGACTGAGAGAGAATGACTGGCTCAAGGTTAGCTAGCTGGTTTTATGCCTCAGGCAGAACTAGAACTCATAATTTTCCAGCTTCTAGCCTGTGGTGTTTTAACCACCACACCAAACTGGCTTTTCTTTTCAGTGGGTATTGTGGCATACAATTAATGATCAGATGCTGCTAACTAAGATGGGACAACTCTGAACAGAAATAAGAATCACTAGTAATAACTGCTTGCTAAATTATTGTCAACAGCACTGACTTCTTTTCCTGTTCCCCTTTCTTCATAATATTGAAAAAAGGCACAACGCTATATGATATAATCACAGTATGAACTTCCCTTATTAACACAAGCAAAAACCAATGACGTGGTGTAGCGGTAGAGATACTCATAGCTCAGATATGTGACGCCAGTGTCCTGCCTTGCTAAATATTACATGTAAGAGCAGAGTAGAAGATTTACTTCCTTTTAAGTTAGACACAATACACAGTGTCAGTCTCTGATAATTCAGGAGAAAAATTTTTCAGGGAAACTTTTTGCTAAAGTTTACTAAATCCATATTTGCATCAGTTTACACTTTAGATCAGGAATAGTCAACCTTGGCTCTTTTATGACTCGTGGACTTCAATTCCCAGAATTCCAGAGCCAGCATAGCTGGCTCAGGAATTCTGGGAGTTGAAGTCCACGAGTCATAAAAGAGCCAAGGTTGACTACCTCTGCTTTAGATGATGCATCCCTGGATGTTCAACTACACGGTATGACCATAATTGAACCCAAAATTTATATTGCTAAGCAAGATATTTGTTAAATGAGTTTTGCCTCATTTTACAACCTTTCTTGATACAGTTGTTAAGTGAATCATTGCAGCTGTTAAATTAGTCACACAGCTGTTAAGTGAAGCTGGCTTCCCTGTTGACTTTGCTTGTCAGAAAGTCACAAAAGGTGATCACATGATACTGGGACACTGCAACCATAATAAATGTGAGCCAGTTGCTAACTGTCTGGATTTTGATCACGTGACCATGGGGATACTATAACTGTCGTAAGTGGGAAAAATAGTCATAACTCACTTTTTTCAGTGATGTTGTAACTTTGAATGGTTACTAAATGAACTGTTGTAAGTTGAGGACTACCTGTAAATGGTTCAAAGGGGTTTAAAAAAAAAGCCTAAACTGGTTTTCATATTGACCCATCACCAATAATTCAATGTATTTGAAATAACCAGCTTTTTAAAAAAAACAACAACAACCCAACCCTACAGAACTTAAAAAATGAAAATGTTAGTTCTCTCATTTTAAAATGGCAAATTGGTTTGTGTTTGGATGTCCTGCAAAATGCTGGATATCTGGTAACTGGGAAGCATATGGGATAGGATTTGCATGGCAAACTAAGAAATAATAATGGGGAAAACAAGCCAATAAGATGCTTCAATTATGATCATCAGCAAGAGATTCCTGAGTTTCAGTTTTATTACAAGAATACTCTTTTTAGAGTTATTATTCCCATTATGACATTTGATACCGAGAGTTTCCCCCAGGCCAACATGGACCTGGAAGTATTTCATCTGAAGTCTATAAAAACTTTTATTTAAGACTAGTGATGCCTGTTAAAGTCCCAAGTGAAGAATGAGTATCATTCCTAAATCTGCTTTTAACACGAAATTAATAGGCAGCCCATTTGTAAGTTCGAGTTGTCTGTAAGTAAGAGATTCTTAGCCTGGGGACTGCCTGTATTTACATTTAGTTATTGTTTTTAATGTTAGGAAGCATCTAAGTGTTTTCTTTTTGAGCAACACAAGAGCGCTTGCAGAAACAACCTTATGCTTTAACACAATGACATAAAAAGCAAAGACTGCGTTTCAGGAGGCTCTAAATCAGGGGTAGTCAACCTTGGCTCTTTTATGACTCGTGGACTTCAACTCCCAGAATTCTGGGAGTTGAAGTCCACGAGTCATAAAAGAGCCAAGGTTGACTACCCCTGCTCTAAATGAAGACTTACCCACTGGCACCATGTCCTGGTACTGAGCCCTGCTGACCGCATTGAATGTACTTGATGGCCTTGGCAAAACTGGAGGTCCTGAATGGCGTGAGTCTTCTCCCACCTGAAAAATAAAACCGTAAATATTTTAGTGCGCAGAAGTCTTCTTACCGTCCTGTACATTTTATATACTATTCATTTGAGAATTTTTGCCCCGTCCTTCCTTGAAATGTTACAGAGCATAGAAACTTTTATCTGCTAAGCAAGGTGGATGTTTGACAAACGAAAAGCTTTCTAGAACAGAAACCGCAACCTTTTCTCCTGTTTTTCACATGGGAGAAGCTGATAATACAGACTTTCGTGTAAACTAGGAGGCACTGATTAAAATTAAAATAGTTTTCAGACAAACAACCAGAGAAAAATAAATGTACAAATTACAAGAAATTAGGTAAATCTGCAGTCTAATATTTCTATTCTGAAGAACAACATGGCTTTTCCATGTTGTAACGCTACTAATTATCACTGTCTTTTTTAAGTTTTTAACTGTATATGTAACTGTAAACCACCCATAGTTACCCTATGGTAAGATGGGTGGCCAATAAATTTAAAAAATAAAAAAAATAAAAATTATCTTATATTACTGATGAGTTCATTCAATGAAAATGAATCAGGAAGTATATTTTAGATTTTCCCAAAGGTAGGCCTATGACATAATGATAGCAAGAAGAAGAATTGTAGTTTTAAATATATTATGTAAACTAAACCCTTATGAAATCCTAGCAATTGTAGGAATGTGTACAGGAGCTGAATGGGGAGATAAAGGTAAAGGAATCCCTGCGGATTTACTCCGCTAGTCATTGCTGAATATAGGGCAGTGGTCTCCAACTTTTCCAGCTTTACAGACCAGCGGAGGAGGGAGAAGGGAGGGTTCCACGTGAATGGTGGGCAAGCGCACTCATGCAACTCCATTTGTGCAAGTGGCGGGCACACACGACCACTCCTCGCATAAATGGAGCTGTGCGTGGGTGTGCACACTTGCCCACTGCTACCGCTGCCCGGTTCTCAACAGGCTGTCTCCCGGTAGTGGGTCCCAGCCAGGGCTTGGGGACCCCTACTATAAGGGGAGGTGCTCATCTCTATTTCTAGGCCATTGAGCCAGAAATTTCCTGTGGATAATATTTACAGAATAAAGACATGCATATTAATAACAAAAGCAATTAGTATTATCTCTGAATTAACCCAAAATTTCAACTACAGTGCACAATTATTACACAAAAAAACATATTGGAAAGCCTGATTTTATACACTTTTATTTAACCTATGAGACAGGAAGAAACAACATATTAAATCACCTGACAAATTTCAATAGCATTTCAGTCCTTGCCCCCACTATGTCCTTTTCTAAAATTTATTTTCATCATTATTATCATCCAGGAATGGATCAATTCTACCTAAATTAAAATGAAATTGAGCAAATGAATACCCTCAATACTGCCACCCAAATGATTTTATAATAAAATATCTACTGCTAGTCATCTTGAGTAAACCCAAAGAAATGGAATTACATTTGTTCTACTAAGTTAGGTTATATCTATTTCAACATATCTGCACTAAGTATGAGTAAGCCTCAATCTAATCATATATTTTATTTACATTTCTCCAAGATAGAGAACACGTATAAATATTTGGGATCTAAAACAGGGATTGACTAATTCTGGATTCTCTCTTCTAGCATTAGTTTTATCAATATCAATTTTAAAACTTTTTCAGAAGTTGGACTGAGGGTTACTGTATTATTCTATTTGCCAAATCTCAGTGTGGCTGGTATGAAATCTCATATTTCATCCCTGAAAAATATGTGATAAAAGTAAGGAGATAAACTCATCACTGCCGTGTTTGAAGATCTGGGGTATTTTAATGAAACATCGCAATGTTTCATTGCAGGTAACACAGCTTATGAAATGCATAAGGAATTGCCAATAGTTCACGAGTATAAATTTCACTAAATGTAGTGAAGGTGAAATGGTTAATGCAACTAAAGTATTGGGACGCACATAGAAAGCCTAAGTGAATTATCTATGAACGTCATTTCCCTTTGCAATAACAACCCCAAATTTCCCCTTGTTGAACACCAGCTTCACTTCTGCAATTTCCTGGCTCCAATTAGTCGGTCTCTTTACTGGAGGTTCCTCAGTTGTTGTTTTTTTTNCTACTATTTGTTTTCTATGCTGACAGCACTCACTTTTCTCTCAGCGTGAGAATCGCACATGCCAGCAATGTTTTGCCAAACAGATAGTATAGCTATTAAACTTTGCTTCTCTGAATTAGATCAAATTCAAATTATTCCAGTTTTATAATTGACCCGAGAACTACTCTAAGTCCCCCATTTTTCAGTGGAGACCTCTTTTTCCTGGAAATGGAAAAGAACAGCTCCTTCTGAAGTTGATGCCAAGAAGTTGAAATTCAAGTACTGTTAACTCAAATTCCTTGATTTCTATCAGTATTGCTGAAAAATAAGCCCAACTGCAGGCTTTGATTCCAAAAATTCTTATAAAGAAAGGAAAAACTTATGACTGAATGTAATGGTTAAGAGCAACACTGCATAAACAGTTTCCAATTATGCAACAGATTTTTCCTTCCATATGTTCACGTGAATTCTCTTTATCTTTCATCCCCCTCAGCTGGCTTTATTTCCATAAAATCTGTCTCAATGCAACAGATTTCAGAGACATAAAGAAGCAGATGAATCAATTGCTTCAACTGCTGTTGATATATTGGCAAAATAGGGCATAAGCATACTTCATTAAAAGGAGGAGAAATAGTCACTGTCATTATACTTTGTTTGAAAGGGAAACACAATGTAAATAAAATTAACTTATAGATTATTACTGGCTTTTTGTTTAATGTTGTGTTTCTACATACATTCCTCTTTGGCATTCTGATTTGTAATACATTAAGTGGGTGGGGGGAACATTTGCATACCAACATAACACATATGTTTACCCACTAAGTTCATATAATATGATCATATAAATCACCAAACTTAATTTGATGGAGATTTTACCTTTTATTTAACATTATTCTGTCTTTTGATATTGCAAGGGAAAAACTCAGGTCAAATTTCTACGTATGCCTCTTTTCTGTATGATAGTACTTGTTTTACGGCAGTGCTCCAAACAGCCTATTGCTTACACTGCTTTGAATATATTTGCAGGCAAAGGCCCCCTGGTGGTATAAAAGGAAAGTGACAAAGAGTTTTTGTAAAAGATAATTCCAAAGTTCAAACTCCTTTGCCAAGCTGGCACAACCTGAATTGAGCTGACTCAGGTCACAACCTGACACAACCTGCTATATACCCAGGAGCAATGGGAGCTCTTGTCTTCTTTATCTTCTACCATATGCAATAGATAATAATTTGCAATTCTGACATTTGTGTACTTTGTTCTAGTACCAGGCTTAGAATAGTTCATCGCTACACAGCTGATGTCTTGGAGTTAATCGAAAATTGCCCAAGGAGAAACTAGGAGTGTTCAGAAGTCAAGACAATAAATAAAATACATTATCAGCATCTGGGATGGGTTGAATATGCTTTGCCTCCAAAAGTCTAGATTCAACTTGCAGCATCTCTATGAAAAGCAAAGAGACAACCAATCAAGTAGAGATCAAAACCTGGTGTCTTCAAATCAGTATTGATGGCGTAAGGCCTCCATAGGCTATCTCTCAGGTGTAATCATTCAGCTGATACTCTTACAGGTGTTTCTTTGTCTGACTGGCTTGCCACCATTGATGGTCAGCTTGATAGATAGGGTAGCAAGGGGATATATGAATACCAATTTAAAAATTGATCTCATAAATAAATAATATGTTTTCTTTGAGAAACAGTGGTGTGTAATGGTTTGTAACTTTAAATTAAATAGTGGAAAGCCCGGATTGAAATCTCAGCTCATTCATAAACCAAACATTTTCTCATGTTCATAATCCATATTTTATCATGGCAAATTTAAATTTTTCCCTTATATGTTTCCTATAATAAGAGGGCATTCATTCTGTGAAAGGGGTGGGTAGGCGAATGTATGCTTTTAAAACAATGGAAAATGCCAACAATGGCAGATAGAAATCAATGATGAAAAATCTAATAAAACACTTGGGCCAATTCAAGCTTACCTCACCAGCACTGTGACTGCGCTGCCTTGTTAAATGCTGCCGGTGAACCAAAGCGCTAGTTGGTCTGCTGCTCTGCAAAGGAAGCCGTGGGTCAATGAACGTGGTGGTACGTGAATTGTGGTCAACAAAAAAAGCCTAGCAAAGGAAAAAAAATAGCATTATTCACTACTCTTTGCTCACTGTGGTATTTTAGGCTGCATATCTTTCAGTGTAAGTTTCAGTTAGATCACTGAATGCAGACACAGGAAATCACTGGTCTAAGTTTTGATCCAAACTATGACACAAAGATTTTTGTTCTTAACACATAATAAATATTGTATAGACAGCTAGTGCTCTAAAAAACAGAGATTCTCCTATATGTTATCATAGAAATTGAATAGATAAATACATTCATTATATCAAGAAACTAGAGTTAAGAGAAGACCTAACATTTGAAGACAGGTGGGAGGGAGGAAAAGAGGGAGAGAGAGAGAGAGAGAGAGAGAGAGAGAGAGAGAGAGAGAGAGAGAGAGAGAGAGAGAGAGAGAGAGAGAGAGAGAGAGAGAGAGAGAGAGAGATTTTAAAAAAGTAATACAAGTTGTAATGACAGGCTTCATTGTTAAGAATGATAAATGATGGGGTAGCTATATCCCATACTCACAGTGGTGCCCTACTAGGGTCCCTGCCCAACTTTTTTTTTAAAGGATTCATTTGACAAACATAAACCAAAAGGAAGCTGAATTGATATAAAGCAGTGCATCATCTTCTAGTATCATATGATTTTAGAGAAATGATATGAGCTTCCTGAGAAGCTAGTTTGCTTCCTAAAGCACGAGCATTTTGTAACCAACAAACAGCCATTTTGTGAGCCACTTAGTATTCTCAAAATTCCCAAAGGGTCCCTTCTCACAAACAAGTTTGTTACCCTTTTTTTCTCTTACTTTTTAAAATAAAAAACTATTAGAAAAATAGTTTATAATATAATGTTCTTATATTCTCATTTTAATTCTTATACATAGTAAGATTACAACCATGAACAGAAGAATAGAAATACAAAGAACCCAATTAATTCCTATGGCATGTTTGATTATAGACTGATGACTGGTATAACTTAAGCAGGGTATTCCAACTCTACCAACCTCCTTTATTAATGGGTTCCAAAGGCAGGTTTTAAAAATACCATATAAGATCAATAACTTTGTAAGATGTAGAAATTTCTCAGCTACCTTATCCAGAAAGTTTTTTCAAGACACTTAGCCAGTGGTGGGATTCAGCCAGTTCACACCACTTCGGCAGAACCGGTAGCTAATTTTTTGTTGCCCAGGCCCAGAATGGACTTCCGGAAGCAGCATCCACACAGAGAACCGGTTGTTCACATATCTAAATCCCACCACTGCACTTAGGCCTTCAGAAACCTGTCTTTCATGACCTTTCCAATTGTATATTAAAACCACCCAAGTTAGCCATCCCTTCATCTTATATTGATTGTAAATTTGTTGGGTGACAAGTTTCCTCTCATATTGTACAAATATTTTCTATATTATCTACTGTGGTATTTAGTGGAGACAATATTCCAATAATCTATCTAATTTTCTATCTATGATCAGCTCTCAAAGAACTACTGATTCTTCTCCACTGTTTTTCCTCCAATCATTTCTACATCTTGAAAGACTGAAACATGACTAGGCTCTATAAGCAATGTGTTATTTTCTTATACCGAAAGACTAAACCACCTGTGCTTTTCAAGAGGCTTAAAAAAAAAAAAAGAACTTTCTCGACTTGTTGTGTTTGCAGTTTTTTTTTCTTGTCTATTTCCAAGATGCTAAATCCAACCATGACGACTGATTCACAAAACAACATCCCCCATTAGAGAGATTTTTCTCTCTATCCACTCTGTTCTGTAGATCCTCTAAACTACAATTTGGAAAGGAGGAACGTGTGCATAGATTCAGGGGAACAGAAGAAAGATGCAATACAACACTGGCAATTTGTTTTGGTATAAGTATTATCTCGTATTGGGTTTTTGTCAAATGAGTACTATTTTATAAAGCATTTTTACACCCACAGTTTTCCCTTGAAACTGTCAAAAAAGCCCCATACATACTGATTGGGGGGAGGTGATTTAAAATCTTTGCACATCAAAGGTAATGCACATTTAAAGGCAGCTTAATCAAAACTTATCACCCAATTCTACTATGAAAATGACTGCAGAGATTCCATAGTACAATTGCTTATTAAATAAGCTGTTTCTATAAACAAAGAAATAATTGTGAAATGCCACATGTGCAAGACCAACAAATGTCTTCATATCACAACAAAGTAAGTGAAGCAAAACCAACCATGGAACACAAAAAAAATACCTCAACTATTTATATTGCTGTTCTTACTACACTGTAATTGCTGGAAACACAATATGGTAGCAAGACACAAATTGAAAAGCAGATAAGTGTTACAAGATTGACACAGGAATTTGTCTGAAAGTCAAACTTAGAAACACATTCTCTTTTATTGGTGCCTTTGAGTGAGTGATGACTCCTGATGACTGCCTGGATGTAGTGGAATGTGTGGATAACCTTGGGAACCAAAGAAAGAGATGCTACCTACATAACCATCAGACAAGAGAGGTAGAAGGCTCCAGTGGCTTAACTGTGAGAGAAAGAAACTTAGGAAGGATCCACCCTAATGGATCAAGCAATTAACATTGGCAGAGAGAACTTTGCATTTTTCAAACTTGCAAGATTGATGTCACCCCCTCTCAGATAAACTAGACAGGAAACATGACTGGATGAATTAATTCTATTTTATCGTGAGGCTACATTAACAGAATCTTGTAATTCTTAAAGTAGAAACTTCCTGCCACCACTTTTAACTGCTGACACCAAATTGGCTGTCAGAAGCACACTAGTTCTCTGTATTACTGCTTTGACCCCTCTGATCTACTATTTGTCTACCCATGCTCTTCTGATTTAACAGAATGTGATAGGATGCCATATATTTTAATGAAGCTTTTGCTTAACAAATTGTAAATCTCAGAAAACTACACTAGAGACCTGCTGTGTACCCAGCCATATCTATAAAAGGTTTACAATGCAGATGCTAACTTTAGCGAACTGTGTGAATTATTTTAGCTGAAAGCTTGGGAGTTCTCTTCTTGTTCTTGTCATCAACCCAATTAAGCTTGATATTTTAAACCATTCCAGTCCTGTTCAGTTTTGTGTAATTCAAATACTCTAGCCTAACTGGTTTATGAACCTCTGCCTGATATCTTTTCCATCTAAAATAAGGTAGCATGAGTGCAATCTCCCAAAGGCTAAAATCTTAATAAGCTGAAGCCCAAATCAGACGACACATAATTTGAAAGCATAGTCATAATTTGACAGCATGTTTGTCAGGTAGGAAAACAAATGGTTTCCAATGAATAGTGTTGCCTATGCATAACACTGATTCTTTCACAGCAATTTAACAAACTATACAGCATTTATTTATATCATATACTTAAGCAAACGGTAAAGAAGCTTAGGGATTACACTAAATGAATACAATCATATTATACACACGTGCTTGAGACCAAGCAATAGCATTTTGTTATGTAATGGAATTCCTGTTTTGAAGCACCATTGGAGAAAAGAAAAATCAATGGAGCTTCAAAGCTCTGTTCTAATCTGAACGATGATACTGCAGTCAGGAATCAAGGTGAATACTACAAGCGAGAGCACAAGCGAGAGCATACATGCCTAATTTTAAAATTCCCACTGGCCACCAGAAAAAGGGTGTAGTTTGGATATTTATGGTAGCTGGGAAGAGAAACAGGGTATTTTGGTTTGGACAAAATACACATTTACCCACGTTGGCTAACTGAAGCGCTGTTTCAAGTAAATTATAGGCACTATAATAATGTGCAGTGACATTAAACTGATAATGAAAGCATGTATGGTCAAGATTATGCTTTCTCCAGTTGCAACATACTGTTGTGGCCATCAAAAGAGTTGGAAAAGAAAAATGAAAGTCCCTGAATGCTAATTAATCCTGGAGAAAACTGATAATAGCTCAAAACAAATAATTGCAATGCTAAATGAAGTAAAATCAGACTAATTTGAAGAAGCATTAGAAGTCATAGAGGTTATCTAATCCAACTATCCACTCAGTGCAGGATCTGCTAGTTCATCAATGCCAGATAACCATCCAGCTCTGTTTCAAGACCTTTAATGAAAGAGAACCACATCAGGTAATTCACTTTTCCACTGGCTGACAGCCTATACCCGTGGTGGGGAACCTATGGCACGCGTGCCACAGGTGGCACGCAGAGCCCTCTCTGTGGGCACACGTGCTGTCACCCCAGCCCTAGGCCTTCAGTTGGGTTTTATAAAACCTTTTCGCTTTAGGCCTCCGCCACCGTGTGCAAAAAAAAAAGGCTCAATCAATCAATCAATCAATTTCAACTTCTCGTGGGGAAAAAAAAGATCTCGCAAAGTTGGAATTGATTGATTGAACTTTTTAGTTCCACCCAGTCTGCTGTTACCACTGCAGCCACGCCCACCCAATGGGCCATGCACACCCGGCACCCAACAATACATAAGTTGGTTTTGGGTTGCAGTTTGGGCACTCGGTCTCTAAAAGGTTCGCCATCACTGCCTATAGAGTCTGGAACTCCTCCCAATGCCTAGCTTGAACTTGCTTCCTTATAGTTTTATCCTATTGCTTTTGGTCCTTTCTCTGGGGTAATAGAGAGGTCCACTCTTTCTTTTTGTGTGTGTTAACCCTTCAGATACTGGAGACTACAATCACAGACTGTCTCTAGGCTAAACATAGCCAGATCCTTCAACTGTACGTCATAGGATTTGATTTCCAGTATCTTTGGAGCCTTCCTCTGCACTTGCTCCAGTAGTCACTATTGTTATTTTTGAACTGTAGTACACAGAATTGGACTTAGTACTCCAAAAGGAGTCTGACTAGGACAGAGTGAAGTGCAATAATTATTTCTCATGACTTGGATGACATTCCCCTATTGTTCTCCAAGATAGCATTTGCTTTTTTAGCAACTGCATCACGTAACTGGCTTATATTTTACTTGTGATTAGACAAAAACATCGATTCTTTTCCCATATATTACTTACAAGCCAGATCACCCCCATTCTATACTTGTGCCCCACAGTTCTCCTACTGTATGCCTGTGTGTACTGTATGTATGACAGAATTATGTATGCCTCCCTATTAAATTCAACCCTATTTGGCCCACTGCTTCACTCTTTTTAGATCTTTCTGAATCTTCTCTTTTTCATCAAAATCATTAGCCAAACATCCTAACTTTGTACCCTCTGCACTTGTTAAACATCTCATAAATTCATGTCTCTATATAATTGATAAAAAAAGTTGAACAGCAAAGGGATAGGCTCAACGTTTACCAAGTTACAGTCGTACTTAAAAGTTTGTAAACCCTTTTGAATGTTCATTAGTTCTACATAAATATGATCTAAAATGTGACTTCTTCTCTATAAAAGTCCTAAAACTAGATAAAGAGAACTTGATTTTAAAAATGAGTTAAAAACATTATACTGGTTCATTTATTTATTGAGGAAAACGATCCAAAGCTACATATTACAGTCAAATTTCAATCAATGGGATGATAATCAGGTATGAGTGTGTGAGGTCTTGTCTTATTTTAAAAAGAATGCTGGATATTCACAATCAAAGTCTGATCTTTACAACACAAGTATGTAGAAGTGTGCCATAGTTCGAACAAAAGAGATTTCTGAGAATCTCAGAAAGGCAGTTGATGATGCTCACTAGACTAGACAAGGTTACAAAATTATTTCCAAAGAATTTGGACTCTACCAGTCCAATGGCAGACAAATTGTATATAAATGAAGGCAATTCAGCACCACTGATATCTTCCCTAGTAGTAATCGACTAACCAAGATCACACAAAGACCAAACTGTGTAATACTCTTGGAGATTTCAAAGATCCCTGAGGTAACATCTAAAGAAGTAAAGGCACTCTTATGAAAGTCAGTTTTCATGACAGCACCATCAGGAGAATACTGAACAACAATGGTGTGTATGGCAGGGTTGCAAGGAGAAATCCACTACTCTCTAAAATGAATATTTTGCTAAATATTTCACATTTTGCAAAACTGTCTGGATGAGTCAGAAGACTATTGGAAGAATGTTCAATGAATGGGTGAGAGCAAAATAGAACTTTTGAGCTTGAATGATGAGTTTTATGTTTTGTGAAAGGCAAACACCATAATCCAACATATCCCATCTGTGAAACATGGTGGTGGCAGCATATCCCATCTGTGAAACATGGTGGTGGCAGTATCATGATCTGGGTCTGTTTTGTGGTCTCCAGACCTAGGATGGCTTTGCCATCATTGATGCAACTATGAATTCTGAATCAGACTAGCAGATTCTACAAGAAAATGTCAGAGTATCTGATCATGAACTGAAGCTCAAGGGAAAGTGAGTTATGCAGCAAGACAATGACCCAAACACACAAATCATATGATTAAAGAATGGTTAAAGCAGAAGAAAATTAAAGTTTTGGAATAGCTAAGTTAAAAGTCCTGATTTTAGTCCTAGAGAAATGTTATGGAAGGACCTGAAGAAAGGTTCATGCAAGGAAGTCCGCCCACATTTCTTGAGTTGAAATTCTTATGTGGGAAAGATTGAGCTAACATTCCTCCAAGCTGATGTGCAAGATTGATGAAGAGTTATCATAAACATTTAATTCCAGTTATTGATGTCAAAGCAGGGGCACACCAGCAAAGGTTCACGTATCTTTGTTACACACCAATATGTAGTTTTGGATCATTTTCTTCAATGAATAAACAAAAGAGTTTTCGACTCATTTATTTATTTGCACTCTCTTTATTTGGTTGTAGGATTTGTGTGAAGAATGAATTATGTTTTAGGTCATATTTATGCAGAAATTTTGAAAATTCAAAAGGGTTCACAAATTTACAAGCATCACTACACAAAGGGAAAAAAATCATGAAGCATTGCTAAAGATTTAACATACTTTTCTTACTTCCTGCCCCTTCTCTCTGGAATAGCATTCCCCTGAAGATAAGATCAGCTTCAGCTTTTGTTCTTTCAAAAAGGCTTCAAGGTCTGATAAGTTGTCATGCCCCACAGAAGTGTTTTTACCTGTATTTGGATTGTTCCTTGGGGCTTGGCCTTCTTTCTTGATGGTAATATTTTGTTATTTATATTATAGTGGATTGCTTTCAGACCTAGCCCAAGAATGACATGAAACAATCCAGCCAACATTCAGTTGTTTATTTGCATACACTATATAGACACAATCTTGCCAGACTAAACCTATACTACCCTAACCTAACATATATACCAGTGGTGGCGAATCTATGGCACAGGTGCCAGAGGTGGCACTCAAGAGCCCTGTCTGTGGACACGTGCGCCGTCGCCCCAGTCCTAGGCCTTCAGCTGGGTTTTATAAAACCTTTTCGCTTTAGGCCTCCACCGCTGTGTGAAAAAAACAAAAATTCAATCAATCAGTCAATTTCAACTTCTCGCGGGAAAAAAAAGATCTTGCAAAGTTGGAATTGATTGATTGAACTTTTTAGTCCCACCCAGTCTGCCGTTACCACGGCAGCCATGCCCACCCAATGGGCCACGCCCACCCAATGGGCCACACTTACCCAATGGGCCACACCCAGCCAATGGGCCACACCCACCCGGCACCCGACAATGCATAAGTGGGTTTTGGGTTGCAGTTTGGGCACTCGGCCTCTAAAAGGTTCGCCATCACTGATATATACTCTAAGAGATTCTAGGGAGTGATTATCCTAAATTTCTTCCTCATCCCATGATCCAGGTCAGGACTATGCCATCTCTTGTCTCACCTCCCTCTTCCTTGGAATGTGCTCCCTCCCTCCTGGGAAACTGGTGTTTCACTGTAGTCTGTCACAGCAGATACATTCATAGACACATTCCATCACAATTACTGCATTTAGGTTTATAAGTCACAAACTCTGAGTCACTAGGAATGGAATGGAAAATAAGCCTGGTAAATCAAATAAATCATATTATCTTCTAGTGACACCATGTACAAGAACTTTTATAGCTCATCAAATTAAATTTTAATCATTAAAAATTACAACTGTTCTTAAGGCTAAACTTAAATTTGAATAAAAATAATGTATAAGGATAAATTGAATCAGGTTGAATATGTAGACACAGCACTGCTAGGAACCACTGTAACATCTCTTTTGTAGAAATTAAGCACTCCATTGTGAATAAATGTATGATTTTTCATAATTGTTTCATAATTGTTATTATCGGGTATGAGTGTTTTCGCTGTTATTTAAAGTTGTTTCCATTTTATTGCATTTGTTGTATGTTTCACTGACTATGTCACTGTTGTTTTTGTACAGCACTTAGAGACCTTCAGATTATTGCATTTTTTAAAATTTCATTTATAGTGTAATAAGTATGCATGCATGCTTTTATTTCATCAATATTCGGATTAAGACAAACCAATATGTTTATTTTGAAAGTTGCTTCTTTATATCTGTTACCTTGCCCTGATGATCGTGCTTCATTTCCCAACCCCGTGGCAATTCTAGCTGTTTGTTGGCAAACATGTTCAAAAAGCCAACTAAATCGCGATTATGCTGGTAGCGCTCAAAATGATGGGTATCTCGTCGAACTTTGGTGATCATGTGCTTTAGACATGTGTTATTTGTAAACGTTCTGTAGGCACTCTGGCGGAAGGAGAATAAATCAAAAGTTATTTTCGGATTCTCAGACTAACATTTTAATGGCTTCATAAGTTTGAAAAATGTATAGTACAAGCCAAGGGAATTTGCCATCTCTTAACATAAACATAAACTCCAATTCCTTCAAAATTATCTGCTCGCTGATGATATACAGTGTTAGCAGTAGAGTGAGAGAACCAGTTTTCAGAGCTTCAACAATGCAAAGTTAAAAGCTTTAAGCTCCTCATTTAGTCTAAGACATCTAATAAGATGATAAGCTTATGGAAGATATTTTTTCTTAATTTACACTGAAAACAATTGCTACGATGCTTCTGAAGTTAAACATATCATGTTGTGCAAATCCATTTGATTCAAGTCTACACTTTCCCCAAAAAACTAATTTTCTATTTTATTCCATTCCCCACTCCCAAACCTGGAACAGTCAGTCAAATTAAAAAAGTAAAAAGGCGAGAAGGAGTATATATCAAGTCCCCAGAGACATACCAAAGCCCAGAGTGTCACACTGAGGATTTCAGTTCTCATAACAGAATTACTATTTGTCTTTCTCATACTACACCTTCAGACCATCAACAAACACTGATCATTCTTTCAGCTGCTTGCCAGATACAGCCACTGTGATCATTCTGTTAGGATAGTTTCCTAAGCAAAAAGGCAGCCACAGAAAAAGCCCAGATCCATATTCCTACAACTCTAACGTCAACCCAAACATTTCAACAAAGCATGGGATTTTATTTTGTAAACCATCCCGGGTGGCCTTTTAGAACCAAAGGTGCTGTGTAATTTTTAAAATGAAACATATTTATGTGCGCTCGTGTGCACCAGCACACACTCATTTTGTTGGAGGTCCAACTTGCCATTATTATAATATTCAAAAAATATGGTACTGAAAATGCAAATGTATCCTACTCCTCCAGGGTCTATACCCAAGCTTGATTTGTGGGTGCTACTCACAGGGTTTGAATGCAGCACAGTGAAGAATTCTGGGCTGATGAGGAATTTTACTGGGGGTGATTGGAGCAGCAGAGTAAGCCTGGATCTGGAGGTAGAATGAGGCAGCGCACCGTCCCTTCGGTAATCTAATACAAACATGTAATCAGAGTCGTTGAGTCGGACAAGGACTTCAGTGCCATCAAGGAGAATAAGTAAAAAAACCAACTATTTTTATCTTTACATGTGCCATGGAATACTTATTTCCTCTTAGTGTTAAATACCACTACGAAATGGAGTTGTAAGCACTTTTTGGAATTAAACAGATTAAGTGAATAAATGAATAAAGAATGCCATTAGATCATTATCCCGAGTCAGTAAGGAAAAACAATTGGTAATCACAGTAGCACAATAATTTTTTCACTTTCTTTCACCTTCCTTACACTTCAAATCTCTACTTTTAACATCTGAATTACGTCTAAATTATTGCTCTTTATTTTTTGAACAATCCATCCATTGGCACCTTGTTGGAATGCTGCCGAATTTAGTTTTAAAATATGGGAAATTTAGAGATAGTGAAAGAAAAGGAGATTGGATCCTGATCATGGAAGAAACAAAAATATTTTCTAAGTATTACAGGAAAATATAAAAGGGAAAATGATACAAAACAAGAGTTTTTGCCTCAATATAGGACAGTGGTTCTCAACCTTTTTAATGCCGCAACCCCAACCGGTCGTAAGTCGAGGACTAAACCAGTCATAAGTCGAGGACTACCCAACCGGTTGTAAGTCGAGGACTTTCCCTGCCCAGGAGCGCCACGCATGCGTGGTTCTACCCCCTGCATCGGCCGAGGCGTAGCTGGCAAGCGGCAGAGACGGAGCAGGCCGACCACCAGCTGGCCCAGCCCAAGGGAGGTAAGGCACCCGCCGGAAAAGGGAAAAAAAATGGCGGACAAAAAAAATGGCGGACAAAAAAAATGGCGGACAGCCTTGCTTGGCGACCCCCGTGAAATGGTCGATCGACCCCAAATGGGGTCCCGACCCACAGGTTGAGAACCACTGATATAGGTGATTGCAAAACTGATTTATTCTTTAACCAGCAGCAGCTTACAACCAAAGGATAGATACTGGAAGTCCCAAGAAACCTAAATGAGATAATGAATGGATCGAAGGAGGTGTGATTTCTTTTGGTCTTTGACTATAAATCCATTAAACCAAAAGTGTGTGATTACAGACCTATGAGCAGCAGAATCCCACATGACCAGTTTCCACTGAAGAAAGAATGAAATGCAGAGGCTACATCCAAGCAACTTGCACTCATTCTCCCACACCCACTGTGTTCCTTTCTCTCACATGCTTAGATAGTGCCCCAAACAGAAAAAATGGGCTCTGCTTGGTGAATAGGGCCCACTGGGAAATACCATTCAGAATTTCACCTAGATTTCTATAAGGGAGGAGGAATCCTGTCGTGTTAAATTCATTTTTCAATGGCAACAGATCTTATATTTTATATCCTATCTCAAATATAGTTGAGCTCCAATCTC